GCCAAAGACTCCACACCCAGGGATAAGAAAGCCAATTAATTTAGGAAAAGGTCTCCTTTTCAGTATGGAAAATACCCAAGGTCTTGCATGGAATCACTTTGCCGCTGCCTCTCTGCACACATTCGCGGAGATTCAGCTCCCTTTGGAATTGAAATATATATTTATATATGTATATATAGACCTATATGCATCCTCTTGTACAGAAATGTTAAATTCTCTAGATTAAGTATCTTCAGTTGGGGAAAATCAATTTACTTCTTTGAGGAAGCTGGAATTGAAAGTCGTGAGCTTGAAACTTACTTTCTTGCCAATTTTCCTGATAAAAAAAGCATGCCCATCCTGGCACGTCAGCCTGTATTGGCTGCTCCAAATGATGCCATTAATTGATTGGGCGACTGGCCCCGAAGCAGTCTTTATTAAGGTCCCCACCAGAGCTGGGACAGGCAGGATGACACAGGAGCTGTAGGAAAATGGGACGTGGGACTCTGTTCCCTGGAGTGGTGACTATAGCTCAGGCCAGTGACAGGAACTCAGGCCTCTGATGAGCATGCCCATAGAGATGGGGGAGGGACCTGAGATTCCAGGAGGGGTCCCAGTTTTATTTCTCCTTGCTTCACATGTGTCACAAGAAGATTTTCAGGGTTGTGCCTGAGAGTCACAGAATCACTGAAGAACAGAAGGACAGAACTTAAGGGGAACCAGAGACCATGAATACATGTGGTTGAGAAGGGGGTCCCCAAGATATAGGACAAGGACAGGGGGCGGCCACTCCAGGGAAGCAGATTCCAGACTCACCTGCCTACAGGTAATGGAGGTAGTGAATTTGCTGGCACTGGAACCTCTGAGATGAGCATCCCAGCCAGCTTCCTGCCTTATTGTCACCTCCTGTCTCAATTGGCCCAGGCTCTCTGGTGTCCTTTCCCATCTTCCTCATTCAGTTCCTTTACCCACTGGTGGCCTTCATGTGTCTATCCCCAAAGCCCATCTGCCTCAACACTCCCTCCTGCCCCCAGATGGAATTCGTTTTCCTCTACGGTGTTGTGTTGCTGGGAAGAGCATATGTTTTGGTGTCAAGCAGGCCTGTGAGTAGGAGTGCGGTGCTGGGGGGAGGGGACGCCTGGAGGAGTTTGGAGAAAGAAGTTCTCGTCCCATTCTGAGACAGAAGGAGTGGGGCAAGGCTCCCTGAGTGATTCATTATCAAATTCATTTGCCAAGACTCAAGATTTATTGGATGGATGACTGGTTGCATGGGAAGTGAGTGGAGTGTGTAAGATGCATGAGGTGGAGAGAAGGATGGATGGTTGGGTGATCGATAGATGGATGAATAGGTGGGTAAATAGGTAAAAGTCTAGGTGGATAGTTAGCTAGTGGGTAGAATGAATTAGTGTGTAGACAGTGTGTGGGTGAAAGCATGGCCAGATGAATGAGGGGATGGATGGATAGACAGATGGTGGATGAACGGGTGAGTGCACTGAGGGGTAAGCAGAGCCCTGATTGTCTCATCTACCCCTGGTTCCCATCTCTGGTAAAAGAGGGAGAATTTATAAAGCAGAAGAGACAGGGATGGACAGGAGCTGAGGAGCTGGCGTCACTGAAGGGAGAACAGTATTTAGGTTACAATAACCAGGATGGTAA